TCTATATTTCTGCAACAACTAAAACAGTTTTTAAATTAAATTTTTTGCCTAATTTAGTCCACTACATTCTGTTGATACCGTTATGTTAGAGCTTGGAATAATTTCGACTATGCAATCACGTCTACTTTCTATATGAGCAAAATATCATGCATCAGCAAAAATATCGGAATTAAGCTTTGCAAAAATAGTCTCTCGTCTAAAAATGTTCGAAATTGAGTTAAAAAATTTTAAACTAAAGTTACCGAATGTGAGGACTTCTTGCGAGTTCATATGGAATTGAGCCGTAAATTTAACGGAGCTTTTAAGAAAACCAATATGGCAACTTTACCACATAATAATGTGGTTTGATGGATAAAATCGACCCATCGATTCTTTTGAGGCGAACTTTTTACCAGCAAAATCATTCACCATAAGCAGGAACAGATTGTAATCACTTAGTGCTACGTCCGGACTATAGGATGGCTGTATAGGAACCACTCAACCCAGCTACCGGTGCTTCTAGCGGGACACTATGAATCTGTGTAGCCTAGCTTTGCCCTGATAAAACACAATTTCTCGCTTATTGACCAAAGCTGGCCGCTGCTGGGCGAGAGCTTGCTTCAGCCGGTCCAGTTGTTGACAATGCAGGTTCGAATTAAGTGTTTGGCCGTCGAGGAGCAGCTCATAGTAATTGATTCCCTGCTAATCCCACAAAACACATAGAAAAATCTTGCGGATCTTCTGGCTTAGTCGCCGTTTGCGTCCATTCGACGCGATTCGATCACGATTGTTTTCCCTTGACGTTGTCTTAAGTGTCTCTCCGCTTCATAAATGAATCGACTTTTTTGCCAGTCAGCAGTGATTCGCAGCTGGAAATTTAATTTGATGAGAGGTCTTTTTGGGTTAATCAAGTATCATCGAGCTACTTCTCGTATCCAGCCGATATTAAGTGATTGCGAACGATTTTTTGGTGTAATGTTTTGCTTCTGGGGCATCGAAACTGTGCTTAAATGATGATACTGACTCTATCTTAATAAAATTTATAAAATTAATGGATGAAACCGAAATTGCGCGTATTTGACTCTTATAGTATCAGATCTATAAACACTATTCACACTTTAAGCCGCCTGGCTGGACTTTTCGTGTTTATCGCAGAGAAACTCTTGGAGAACTTTGCGCCTTCGTGCCATTAAGTCTTCACATCAGTCAAATATCACTTAAACGTTACAATTATTAATATATTCTGTCCTTTTTCAAGATTTCTATGTAAAATTTAATAACTAAACGAAGCCGTTCTTGTAAGATGCCGTACTGCAAGCTGATCACATAACTAACTAGTTGAGTTCAACGCACATACATACGTACATTATATTTGTTGCAAGTTTATGCTCCGCTGGCAACGTCTAATGTGCTCAATTGACACGTTGACATTCGACGTCAGCCAAGCGACCGACAACGATGCATGTTGCTCCGCGACTCCGCGCTCAGACGCGTCCATCAGGCGACAGCAGCTGATTGCTGTAAGTAGCGTCGTTCACGCAGCCTTCTTTGGACTAACCGGGACTGACACACATTGACGGTTGTTTGATGGATGCGTGTACGTGTCGTCATAACGATGCCACCGTGTTGTCACTTTGCCGTTTGCCAATGCCGTTACCAGTGCTGTCACTGTTGCTATTTTATTTGCGAAGCTGCACGTCTCGACCAGTGTGTCAGTTGTAAGTGAAATTTAGCAAAGTGTGTGGTATATATGCTCCTTGTAATATTGAATTTGCCCTATATTTGTTGTTATATATCTAAATGTATGTGTGTGTGTGTGTAGTTGTGTGCGCGCGTACGTGTTTATAAAATATGGAATTTCCTTCTTGTTACGTGTATATTTTTACGCTTTTTCTTTGAAGTACACACACACACACATATATGTATATACACACACATAAATGTACAATTACCGTTACAGTTATAGTCATTTGTTAGCATCTTGTGCGGCGCCATCAAAGTCAAACGACAGTGACGGCGGAATTTATGACATCGAATGTGTCCATCAACAACCACCCAATTTTCCACCCATCCAATGCAACAACAACAACAACATGTACATACATTTTTATACACTTATACATATGTATGTACTTATATATGCGACCATGTGTCGACGCGTCCCGTTATTGCATGTAATGTATTGTAATTTTATAATTTGTATGCGTCTCGTGTCTTCGTTCCTAATACACATGCACATACATGACTAACGGTATGCCTTTTAACACATTTGCCTTAAATGCAATTGATTCTGAGCATTATAACAATATAATTATTTGACACTTAAACGTTGTCATTTTTCAATCGCATATATAACACTCATCATTCACGATAAGAATGCATAAAATGGCGAAAAGTTTAGAGTTCCGACTGAGTGGCTCTGCGCGGAATTTGACTTTGTATATTTTAATAATATGCAAATAGCTGCTCAGTAACGTTGGCTGGTAATTTTTATTCAATTATTATTAAACTATATATATGTTAAATTTCAAATACTCTAAAGGTAAACTCTACAAGAAAGAAATCCATTATTTTCCAATAGATGGCTTTGGTAGTCTGTGGTTCGCGTTCTATAAGTGCGCGCAGGTTACGTTATATGCCGTTAGAAAGATAAAGGTTTGTACTAAAGAAACTTCTCTGAAAGTTTTGTGATTGCTTGACTGCGTATTGCTTGAGCAGGCGTCAAAGATAGACATCCGCAAAGCGAAAATACGCCATATTTTACGGTGTGTCTTCAATAAGGACGAAAACGCAGGCTAGTTGGCTGAAAATGTGATCACCGTTTATGGACCTCATGCTAAAACCGCTTACTGCGAAGTTTTGGTTTCGTTCATTCTGTGCTGCTAATTTTGATATCCAAGATTCATCACGCTCTGGAAAGCCGCTGAAAATCGCTAAAAAAATGGAAATCCTGAAGTCAGACTGACATTTAAGCGCTGTTTCGTTGATCTAGAAGTTGAACATTGCACTAAAAGCCATTCAGAATCATTTAAATAGCGCTGGATACGAAGAGAAGCTCGATGCCACTTGAGTTAAACCAAAAAATACCACATGGATCAGTAGGTCTGTAAGCGCAATAAAATCGATGCATTTATAATGAAGAATGGTTACTGATGCTGAAATGTGAGTCATTTAAGACAACGTCAAGCAAAAATCGTCGTGGTCGAACCACGTTGAGTTCGCGCAAACGGCGGTTAAGCCAGGCTTGATGGTGTGGAAGGTTTTTATATATGTTTGATGGAATTGGTAGGTTATCATCTACAATGAGAAGCGTAGCTTCTACGACCAAACTCTGCATTCGAAGCTGTATTGTCAACAATTGAACCGTTTGAGGTTCCTATGCATACACCCTATAGTCCAGAACTGGCACCAAGCGATTAATATCTTTTCCTGTCTATAGCGAATATATAATTTTGTTGGTGAAAATGTCGCCGTAAGAAATGGTTTTCAAAACCGACTGTCCCAACATGTTGCCAATGGTTTGTTGGTTGAAAAGGAAGGCGAATGTGCGTCAGACTGCAGCAATTTAGTGGATTTGGTAAAAAACTTGATTTTTTCCAAATCAGTTGACCAATGTTTCTTAAGTTTGAGCCGTGGAATATATCCAGTCTTATCCGGCTGAAGTCTGGGCATTCGATATCTACTTTTTCGATTTCACCTCTTGAAAATCTTACGGGTATATACCCTGTGATGATCCCTACAATGATACTAAATTCCCTTTTGCCTAAAAGTAGTGACTCTTTGGTCTCTCTGGGTAGTCAACACTACCCCAAAGTAACTTTACGCTATGCCCTATGTTGTTTGTATGCCAAGAACTGAAGTGCTCCTCTAGGGTCCATTGCTTTAAACAACCATTGAAGAATCTGAATGATCTGGAACAGCTTAGGGGAACTGTGTTTCCAGCTGCCCCCCAGCGGGCCACTTCGTCTGCCTCTTAATTTGCTTTGCCAATAGGGACAGGGCTTTCTATAGGAGTGACATTATGAAAATACCTTTAAGTTGACAAAAAGTTATAGAACAAAACGGTGCATACAAGTATTTGACCTAAATTGTATGATTTTAAGGAGTCTTTGAAGTTTTTATATAATGAAAACCTTTCAAATAACCTTACTTATGTTAAACTTAAGGAAATCCCAAAGTTAAATCTCAAATCGTTTGGCTTTCAACTTCAATTATATGTCAATAAATATACTTTACATAAAACAAAGGAAAATATAAATCGAATAAAAAAATATTTGTATTTACAGTTTACCAGTTAAATTAAAAATTCTTAGCGATACATTTTAGCATTGTTGTATCGAAGATCGACTATCAGACTCCTGTCACGAACCGAAGTGCGAAATGGTTAAAGCCTGTTGCGTAAATACGCCCAAACAGACAGCGACGTCGTCGACTACCGCCAAAGCTTCGTACAGCCGAAATGCATTCATGCATTTTCTAAGCGAATATAGGCGCGTCTGCAATCGCCGATCGCCGGCGTGGTTGACCGCCACAGAAGCCGGCGAGGTATGGTCGCGTATGCCACTTAATGATAAGTACTGTTATATTGAGGCCGCACGCAACGCTGGCTATGTGTATACGGCACGTGATCGTCGTATGAATCGTGTGATGCGACATCTGCGTAAGTCTCTGACAGATAATGAACATCGCATCGATTTGATGCAACTCTCATTGGCCGTTAAGCAGATGCAGTTGTGGAAAAGAAGAACGCTGGATGAAATGTGTCGATGCTGATGAGTGTTTAAAGCTGATCCGCTACGCTACGGTAAGGCATGCCACAAATGTCAGTAATCGTATGAGTGTTGTTGTGTATATCATTCGGTAATGTCTCGTCTTTTGTGTTAAATGTAAATTCAACGTTGTAATTAAAAATATATTCCTTAAACATAAGATTGTGTGTCCATTACTAAACTCTACGGTAATTCTGAAAAATAAAGAAATACTTTGAAATGTTAGATTATGTTTCACAGCTGATCCAAGCGCTGGTGATTGTGGGAATCTCATTTGGGTAGGTGAAACGCCGGTTATTTGTGATGCCAAATGAGGATGGTGACTGGACTTCGAGCAGCGAAGAGTCATTAAAACTACTTTTAGACGCACACTTTTCAAGAAATCAATGCACAGATGAAGTGCCCCTCGGAGGTCTTCAGAAGGGCGGTGCAGCCTTTTTAGATCTTCTGGACGAGCGCCCCCTCGCATGGGTGCTAAATTCGTTCGAACCATTCAAGTTCGCGGAACCTGATGGTATCATACCTACGCAATTTCAGCGGAAGGTAAAAATGTCATGTAGCTGGTTGGGCCCCATCTACGAAGACCGGTAAGAGCTCTCATGTGAATGCCAGGGACTTCAGGCTGGAGAGATTTATGAACCTGCACATCAGTGGCATCATACCGAGCGACATGATATTGGAAGCTCAGCATGCCTACAGCACAGGCAGGTCAGTAGACACTGCTTTACACGCCGTCGTGTCACGGCTGGAGGGAGCCCCCATGCATATTGAATATGCGGTGGGGATATTTCTTGACATTGAGGGAGCAATCAACAACGTGCGGTCGGACGCAGTCATTAGTGACCTGGATAGATTTGAGGTCGAAACGAACCTCAAGCATCTCATTTATTGTCTTCTCTACGACGGCGCTGTCGCGGCGAAGAACTGTCATTGACTATGAGCTACTACCCTACGGCCAAACTCTTGATTGAATTGGACCGTCCCAAGGAAGCAATCGCTTAGAAGTAGAGAACAACGCCAGGCCACACACCGCGATAGGGACTCGCCAGAAGTTTCAGGAGCTTAGTTGTGAGGTTCTCATTCATCTAATAATCTGATCTTGGCACCAATTGATTTCTCCCTGTTCCATTACCATAAAACGGTGCTTATTTAACCTAATCTTGGAGTATCATTAAATACTCACTAATTTAAAAATTTGCAAATTCTTGTTAAATTTCGGTTTCAACGATGTGACAGTAGTCAATTTCAGCTGACGTGACACAAATAAATTCCATACATATATACTTTAATGTTTAGGACGAAGTTAGTATACTCGTACTTGTAGCCAACCTTTAGCAAATGTCTTTCGTTATGTAATTTCGCCCAAATGCTTGTGGAAATTTTGTTAATTTCGCATTTTTTGATGTAATTTATTGCCACATGATTTGCATGTGCGTACGAAGGCAACAGCATGTGGCATGTCTTCGCTACACATACTCTAGTACACATTTTCGGGGGCACATCTTTAAGCAACGACCGTCAACTGCATAACTGGCACGTAAGTTAGTGCGTGCAACTTAAATTTCATGCAACATATTTTGCATTTGCATTTTTAGCTGCTTTTTCTCTCGCTTCCGGTTTCCGGCTGCCTAACGTATTGCGTGCGGCGCACAAGCACCACAGGTGCCTCCAGTGGCAGTTGTGACAAGCTGTAGTGAATTTCTATAAAGCAGAAACGAAAATATTTATTCCAGCATACTCGAAGCGTAGCCGAGCTGCCACAGGCAATGATGCAACTACGCTATATTGCAACAGCTCGTTTACCGCAATTTTATCCTTACTCAGTGCATCTACGGTGTGGCAGCTGTGCGCCACAATGGCAATGCAACAGTCTCTGCGTCAGCGCAAAGGGTTGCTAGTTGCAAGTTATGTGCATTGCTGTCAAGTGCTTTGCATTTCGCCTGCCACATTTAATTTGTTGCTTAGGAATTTCATTATATTTTACATTGTTGTTTATTTTGTGCTTGCCACCCAATCGTTTTACCTTCAAGCATGCACACGTTCAAATGGCATATTGATTTTGCTTTCAATCACTGTGTGTAGAAATTTAGTTGGGTGAGTGATCGTGCTATTCACTGGCAAAAGCTTTGTACAATTGCTTCAGCTTTACTCAGACAAAGTTACCGTTAAACCAGTGGCTGACTGAAGCTTTTGGTAGAGTCGTACGTCATAGTTTGCTCACAAGCGCATTAGCTTACTCTGAACTTTAGCTTCTAATACAATTCTGACAACAGTTAATTGCGGCAATTAAGAGTGAATTGAGTTATGCTAATTCTATAACCTCATTCACTTGTGCCCATTATAGCGTCTTCCTACTGTAAGTGTCTCCTTTGGCTGCCGGACTACAGCGGTTTTGCAAGAAACTGCAAGGCTGTTGAGCTTGCTACGTCGGGTACTTCAGTCGCATTAGCTGCAGAATGGACAGGTGTAGAAACTTCGCTGGCTTCCTGCGACTCACTACTGGATGTTTGAACTTGAGTTGATCACGACAAGCTCCGCTCAGCGACTAATAACTGTGCAATCGCAAGATCCTTCTGGTGGTGGATACATCGTAAGGTGCCTAGTGCGCTCTACGCCCTCAGCAAAGTTCATCTAACTAGTTGTCGAAGTTATAACTGGCCACTGTTCCATCGGTATCCACGCGGTATGATTGCAAATTTTATCAGATGCCAGATACAGCGGGCATCTGGTTGCTTGGAAGCAGAAGTGATGTAATCAACTGAACACTGCCTTCTTGAATGTTCCGCCTTTGTCGGTTCAAGGTTAAAATAACTCGGAACTCATACTTTTAGATAACCAGATGAACTAGTGGAAATAGCTATAAAATACATAAGAAGATTTCTGATAAGTTCAAAGTGCTTTTTCGTAAGTTAGTGGCTTCAGACGGCCTCTGATGATTTGCTTCTGCGCCTCTATTTTGAACCAACCAATCAACCAATACGGCGGGTTTCAAGTTGTAAAATAATAAGAGGCCTGAACTTACGAACTGATAAACTTGGATAAACGATTGTCTTATTCCGACTCATGTTTGTATGAAATTTGTTGAGTATTATAGTAATAAATATATACATATTTACATTACGTTAAAGAACTAACATTAACATATTTTTGGAATGTCAGACCTTTTGGCAGTTTTCGTTTACTTTAAAGCGAAAAACTTTCTGACATCCTTCCTAACCTACACATTTTTGCTTGACTACGCCTTTAGCCAACTTACCACGCCGCCGCTGTTACTATTGTTGTTATAATTGTCATATTTTTGGTGGATATTTGTAAACAGGAGCATTCAGCCTGGTCGTCTTCGGGCTTTTGAGGCTTTCGCATTTTTCGGCAGCATCAACATTCTGTTCGTCATTCAAACGGACAAAAAACGAAGGCCACGACAAAGCAGACGTCTGTGGTTATAACCTGTGCACACGCCTTGAGCGTTGAAAGCTTCCGTCATTGTGTCGCTGCGCTGTAGATATTTCGTGTCACACTTCTTCAGTTTGGCCAGGGTCAACTTCGGTAGGGTTTTATGATGTTGTTTTTTTACTTTTCGTTTGCATATTTTTTATTCGCTTGCTTTGTCTGTGATTTCGGCATTTTATGGCTTTAAAGTTTATTTTTTTTTTTTATTTTTTATTTTTTTTTTTAGCGTCTTTACTTACAATCAGCCACAAGTTTTGTCGTACCGACCATCGGTACGAGCAATAACACGAGTATGAAATCTAACGGTATGCGCTACAATACAATGACAAAAGCGAAGCTAAACAAATTTGCCATTGCAAGAAAACAATGAGTGTTAAAAAGTTAGTAGATAGAAGAAGAAGAAGATGCAGAAAAGAAAGCAGCATCGAGCAGCAACTTGACTTATTTATCTGCGTCCACTATACGAAACTTTTAAGCAGGGCTTTGTGCTTCAACGTCGTTTGGTCTACAAGTGTACATTGAGTACATTGTGTACATAAGAAAGGGAAGAGTGAGAAAAGTCTGAGCACACAAGTGGCGGATGTGTATTTTTGTTTGTGTGTAAGGCAAAAAGTAGCGCCGAAGAAGGCAATGAAGCTTTCATGAATAAAAGTCTTGAGTGCAATTCTCTTTGTTATTGTGCTTCAGGGCCCAAAGGAATTTGTAAAGCTAAAGTAAATTTCAATTTGGAGTGAGAGTAATAGCAATATCTACGAGTATAAAGCGAAAGCGAAGTGAGTAATGAAAATGGCAGAAATTAGGCTTGAATATGCGCGCATTAAAAAATTGTTTCGAAAAAGCTAAAAAGTTAATAGCAAGAACAACAAAAACACGAAAATTATTTTTGGACTACGCTTAAGGGGCCGCAAAATTATTCTTAAATTGATAGAATACCAAAAAACCATATTTTCCTCTCTAGTCTGTTATAGTGCCAAAATGTTTAGCGTTCTCAGCTTCATACTTCGTATTTTGGTAAAGCAGATGAAGATCTGTTTTTAGTTTTTCAGATAGCACGCGTTCTCGTATCACTGACTTGATTTGAAATTTCGCAAGCGTCCTTTTCTCTTCAAGAAGCCGCTCATTTGTCGGAACGGTTGATATCGGGCTAATACAAGATATAGCTGCTGTACAAACTGACCAATCAAAATCAAGTTCTTGTATAGAAAACTCTTTCACTTGGCAAGATATCTCCCGGAAATTTTGTACAAGTTAATAGCTCTGGAGGGGCTATAAGCTCTGAACATATTGTTTAGATCGGACTACTATAGCATATAGCTGCCATACAAACTGACTGATCAAAATCGATTCCTTGTATGGAGAACTCTTTTATTTAGCAAGATATCTTGCGGAAATTTTGCATAGATTATGAGCAAAGCCGGGGCTATAATATCTGAACATATAGTTCTGATCGGCCTACTATAGCATATAGCTGCCATACAAACTGATCGATCATAATTAGGTGTTTGTATGAAACACTTTTTTATTTGTCAAGACATCTTCAAGAATTTTTGCATAGATAATTAACCAAGGAAGCGGTACAATCTCCAAGCAAATTGTTCAGATCGGCATACTGTAGCATATAGTTGCCACCTAAACTGACCGTTTAAAATTAAGTTAAACGATTTTTTTTATACCCTTTTACGCTTCAACAAATGCAGCTGGGTAGGAGAT